ATTATTATAAAATATAGTAGATATTGAAAATGATTGAATTGAGAAAAATTTTTGAAAATAATTGCTATTTTTTTTAAGAATTTTATTAAAATTTTTGAAAATAATTGAATTTTGGATAAGAATTTTATTATTTTTAAATAGATAATTGAAATTTTGACGTGGCATTTTAAAAATTTTTTGAACATAATTGAATATCTGCGCGAAGAATTTTATTACTTTTCAAAATAAATTTGAATTTCTGCAATTATTTGTAACTTCTTTTAAATTCAATTTATTTCAGTACTTTATAATAAAAATCCCTGACTTTTTCCTGATTTCTATGACCGACAACCTTGGAAATGTTAAAATATATATTTTTAAAATAAAAAACTTGCAAAATTTCCATGGAAACTCCACGGAAATTTCATGGAGAAGTTCCATGGAATTTCCAGGGGGTATATACTTCCATGGAATTTTTCGACGTGGGCAAAAAATGTGGATCAAATCATGATTTGATGCAAATTTTTAGTATCAATTTAATCTTTTGCTGTTCTACAGAAACTTTTATTGCTATTAGGTATAAAGCTTATTTATTTCCTGGTACGTACGTTTTCTAATGGTTCCTAATATATTGATACTTTTTTATAATGGTTTCTAATGAATTTATACAGTTTTATTTTTTAATGCTTCTTAATGGATGAATATGCGTTTTCTAATTATTTCTAATGGATACATTTTCTAATAGTTCCTAATGGATTAATAAACAAAAATACCAATGTTTGTTGTCATATTGAAAATGATAAACGCCCTTAATAAGATTCGACGTCGAGTCGAATTCAGATAATCCCGAATTTAAAACCACTTTATAAGTCTGCAGTAAATTTCTGCAAGGGATGAATATTTACATTTATCCTCTGGCTTGGCGCACGCTTGTCACATGGCAGAGCACGTGCACCAACACCTAATCTGTCGTGAGCAAACAATTATCCACTATCAACATTATAAACTGCATAATGGTTCCAAATATAATTCACCTTATAAAAAACTCTTCTCACCAGCTTTTTTTTAATATTTATGTACATAAATCCCTTTTCACTCTTGCTGTAATTTTAAAGAAAATCTTTTGCTAAAGTATATAAATGTTAAGGAATCTTTAAGGAACCTTTCGCTTCATTTGAAGACACGTGCTATTTTTGAAGCAAAATCTTTTTCTTCGATTTTAGGGAATCTTCCGCCATATCTTAAGCGATCTTCTGCTATTAACAGTACCCCGCATATCTGTAAATAAAATCTTCTAAATTAGTGCTAATTTTCGGTATTGAAATAGAACCAAATTTAGTATTTAGTAATTTAGTACCCAAAATTGGTACTAAATTAGTACCTTTCTTTTTACAGTGTAAATTATTGAGTATATCTATACATTATTTGGAGTACATACCTTGATCCAAAGCGGTAACTCGATGATTAAAAAGCAAACAACGAATTTGACGAGAAATTGTGTATACAATATGGAAAATGTAGATGTAGACATAGAGAATGTACATCAGATATATATAGAAAATATAGATGGAGAAAATACAGATACAGAAAATACAAATGCAGAAAATACAGATACAGTAAATACAGATCCAGAAAATACACAAATATATGAAAATACAGATATAGAGAATAATACATATACAGGTACAGAAAATATGGATATAGAGAAATACAGATTTACAGAGAATATAGATGTAGTTATCTGAGACGGTGAAATATCTTCGAAACGAGTTTAGTTGACATTAGTAGGTCGATGTTAGGGGGGTCTCGGAAGTGGAGGGTGGATGGAAGGTGTCAAGGAATGCCTGCGCGCGATGGCAGGGTCGACCGCTATCGGTCGTTAATGCTGGCTTGATCCAAAACTCGAATGTCTGTCTTTATCAGCCCAACATAGGCGCAGGGGCAGCTGCATCATCTCTCTGTATATACATATATACAGTGAAAGTCACCCCTGCGCACTTTTCCACCTCCGAAGATCCGCGAGGGTGGAAAATGCTCTCCGATTGGCGTAGAGCACTTGAACGAGGAAGACTATCTCGCTTTCCCATTGGCCTCACGTAAATCCATACTCGGTATTCATTCGCTATCCCATTCGTCGACCTTCCACCGCCACTGATTCAAAAACCCTTTTCCCTCCCTCCCTTTAACCCCCATGAAGTTTCCCAACTGATTCAATGCATTTCGCCGCCACTGACGTGTATAGTCGTCATGCTTTTCCTTTTCTCATACCAATACTTATATACACAAATGCGCGTCGCGCTTAACATGATCTTTCATTTCTATACCTGCAATCGTGGGTGTTATCGAGAATTCCTATACTCTTTTGGAAGTTTTTGCTTGGACTGTTTCAACTTTCTGCTTATTTTTTTAGGTTTGGACTATTCCTACCTTTTTTTTTTTGACTATTCCTACTTCTTTTCGTAAAAAAACGTTAGACTATTATTATTTTACACTATGCTAACTCGAAAGTATCAAATTGCAATTTCGATCAGTAACTAAAAATTAACAATTCAAACATAAATTCTTGTCTACACATAAAAATACGTTCTGAATCCGATCGAAGACTGACGTCTTCGATCGAATTCACAACGTTTTTATATAGTTTTTGACGATTAATAATAAATGTTTAATAATTTTGTCAATTAACTTAACGTTCTTTCTAAGATAGCTGTTGTTCTGCTTAATGATACTCCGATTAAAGACGTTGGTCGTCGATTGGGTACAGAACGTTTTTATAATAGTTTTTAATGATTCATAGATGAAATTTTTAGTAGTCAATTTTTTTTCTATTTCTGACAATAATTTATATTTAAATATAACTTTTAATTCTTCAAGAACTATATATCATAAAATTATTACTTAGAAATTATTTGAATTATTTTTAATATCTACTATTTTAATAAAATTTTCCAAAAGAATTCAATTATTCAAACAAAATTTTACAGGAATTCAATTACTTAACAATTTTTTTTTTATAAATTTCTTCGAACCAATTCAATTATTTGTAATTTTTTAATGAAATTTCGAAAAAATTTAAATATATTCAGAGAATTGAAAAAAAAATAGTTCTGAAAAATTTAATTTATTTTGAAAAATTTAAATAAAATTCTTTTAAAAAAATTCTATTATTTAAAAAAATTCTGACAAAATTCTTTACAAGATTTAGTTAGTAATTCAATACAATTCTTCTTAAAAATTCAATTATTTTCACAAATAATACCTTTTTTATGCGGGAATTAAATTATTCAAAAAAAAATTTAAGAATAAAACTCTTCGCAAGAAATCAATTTTTTTCATAAAAAATCAAATTTTTCTCAAGAATTCAATTATTTTAAAAAGTTTTGATAAAATGCTATGTATAAATTTGAAAAATTATAATAAAATTGGTCATACAATACAATTATTTTCGTAAAATATAAAATTCTTTATAGAAATACAATTATAATATTGTCAAAAATGTTTGTAAAAATCTTTAAAATAAATAAATAAATAACATAAAATAACATAAATAAATAATAACATAAATAATAATAACATAAATAATAACATAAATAAATAACAAATAAATTATTTTCGTAAAAAATTTAATTCTTCGAAGCAATTCAATTATTTAAGAAATTTCAATAAAATTCTTCCCAAAGAATTCAATATTCTTATCAAAAATAAACATTTTCACAAGAATTCAATTATTTAAAAAAATTTAATACAATATTCTTCGTCAGAGATTTCAATTATTTTCAATTTTTCAATGAAATTTCTCGATAGAATTTAATTATTTTTAAAAAGTTTTAATAAATTCTGAAATTCAATTGTTTAAAAAAATTGATTATTTAAAAAAATAAGAATATTTTTCTCCGGAATTCAATTATTTTTATAAATAAAATTCTTTACAGGAATTTAATTCTTTAAAACAATAATTTTTAATAAAAATCCGTTGCAAGAATTCAATATTATTTTTATAAATAAAAAAAGCTTATCGCAGAATTTCAATTATTTTTTATTCAATTTTAAATAAAATGATAGAAAATTGCATTTATTCTTAAAATTTTTTTTTAAATTCGCCAAAAGAATTGAATTATTTTTAAAAATTTTGATAAAATTCTTCATAAAAATTCAATTATTTAATAAATTATTTATTTTTGTACTTAAATAATTGAATTCTCGAAAAATTTTCTAATAAAAATTGAATTAATAATGAATTTTACTTAGAATTTATTAAATTATAATTTGAATATTAAAAGCATTATAGCGTGAATTTGTAGAAATAATTGAATTTTGAAAAGGGTTTAAAATTAAAATCTTGAAAAATTTGAATTTATTTACAATATTCTTATGATATAAAATAATGATTTTATCACTCTATCATCTTAAATTTATCATATAAGTTATTGAATTTCAGAAGGTTTGTATTTGAAAATCTCAATTCCTATAGAAAAATAATAATGATTAAATAATTATTTAAAAAAGAAGTTATTGGTGTTTTCGAATAATTTTACAATTATAAAGAAATTCATAAATAAATAATGTAATATGTAGAACATTTTTTTTAGTATCCAATAATTTTTAGAGTATTAATCAGAATATTCTTTTGGATCAGGGAGAAAGTCAAAATTTTGTCTGGAAATCAGGAAAAAAGATAATTAAATTTTTGTGGCAACCCTGTTGTAATTTACACAATCGAATGTTGGGCCACTTTTAGGCGTTTCAATTCCAAGAAGGAACAATCTAATCCTTAAGTTTATTGAAAAAAAGATTTGTAATTTATACACAATCGAATAAATATTATTTATGTTGGGCCACTTTTAGGCGACAATTTCAAAAAGGAACAATCTCAAGTTCATTTGGAAAAGAATTTGTAATTTACACAATCGAATAATTATGTTAGGCCACTTTTATAGGCATCAATGTGTGTACTAAAAATGTAATGAAACTGGAAAGCTGAGTTCTATTGTCATTTAATATTGCTCATTTTATGTTTTCAGAAATCATCGAAACAGTGTAGCAAAATCAACGATAAATTGAGACACTTGGCGAAAATTGGACTCTCAGAAAGCAGTGCAGGACACCAAAGGCATGAAAAGCTGCAATTCCAACCCAGAGATGAATAAGGACCAAGGGCACCTAAAGGGTAAGTACTCTTACTTCACTTAAATAGGGCGTTAATCTCTAAGCAATTCAAAGTATAGCGTCGCGATTGTAAGTTTAGCGTTATTTTACCCTTAATTTAGCCATAAAACTTTAGTCTTTATTTGCTCTTAAAAATGTTTAGTCTTATTGTCGCCCATTAGGATAGAAGTTTATAGCCTAAAGGCTATAATTTTTAAGACAATGTGGCTAAACATTTTTAAGGTTAAATGAAGGTTAGTGTAAATTGTCGTCAACCGGATGTAACTTCAGTCAGCTTTAGTTTCAAAAAGAGTTTATTCTACAAAAAAGTTAAGTCTTAAAAACCCCAATACCTCATTTAAAAAGCGAAACAGGTTCGTTCCAAAAATTAACGGAATTTGACCGGAAATGTCGTGTGTATGAAGTTTGAAAGCTAAACAATCTCGAAAGATAAAAGGGGGGCGTTAAACTAAAAGTACAAAAAAAAAGAAAAAGAAAAAAACACGTAGAAAATTCTCACCCAAGACACTACTATTCAACGTCTCTGGTTAAGGTACACATAAAGAGAGGATCGATTGAGTGTGTCAGAGTTTAAGGAGCTAGACTGCTCCGCCACTTTTGACGTTGGCGAGAGGACGCCCTTCACAGGCGATGGGGATGAACTCGTGTGTCAGGGTGTTGCTGAGCTTGGAATGGTAATATAAGGCATTTGAAAAGGGAAGGGCGTGTTGCTGGTTGCTGAATAACTCCGCCTCTCGCCACGCCTCCCAAAACGTTGCTATCTTTGTTAAAAATATTCTCTCCATCTCTCCCCCTTATACACAACCGTTCCTTTCAGCCACGCTCGACGACCTTCCACCACGTCGTCGAAAATCGCGTTCCCTACGTTCACTCAACATACTTTTGCTCATCTATACACAAACCATATAGATTACGACGAAAAATTCGCGTTGATCTTTAATCACAAAATCATCGCGGGGTACGAACAATAAGAAAAAAATAAATAACAAAACTGAAAGCTGTCTTCGGACTAAAATCTCGCCATCGGGTCCTTTTGGAATAAATCAATTGACTAAAGATTGCTATTATTTTTTTCGAAAAAGTTGATCTTGATCATCATGTACGGATGCGGACGGTAAAACCGTCCATTCTTTGTTCTCGAGTGAAAAAAGAATGAAAAAAAGATATTGTTTTGAAAAAACAAAAGATAAAGTGTGTTCTGTGAATTTAAAAACAAATTTTTGATGTGTTATAAATTTTTAACTAAATCAGAATCAGTAATTTGAGAAATGCTACTTGTGGAATTTTTTAGTGTTTTCGATTTGAAATATGAGACAAAGGAAGACAATGATTTTAAAAGTGTTGTTAATATTTATTGGCGAATGGACCTACAAAATTGGATTGCGTTCTGATAAATTTAGTGTCAAGAATGGAACGCTTCTTGTATCTTCAGTGAAAGTTAATTTTTAATAATTACTGAAGACTTTTGATTCAGCAAGAAAAAAAAAATAACAGAACAAGAGCGACAAGAGACGCTGAAATAAATTTTAGTGTTTGTGCTGGAGAACATTTTCGCTAAATCGAAAATTAGAGGAGTTTTAATCATAAAACGTTGACAGTAAGTACAGAGATGACTTCTTATTTTTTTTACTTCTATTTTTTTTCTATAATAGAAGAATTTTTCTATAATTGATATTTTGTACTATTTTGCATAAATATTCCCGCTATATTATTGTGTATACAGACAATATTTTGAAACTTTACTATTCTTTTAAATGATTTTTTGAAACATTTAAAAAATGTTTGTTTAAAAAAATCTATTATTAGTATTATTAAAAAAAATTAAAACCTTTTGAACAAAGGCTTCTTATAACCAGTACATCAAAAAATTAATGCTTTTTAATAAATAAGGTATCAAATTATATCATATTTAATTGCATTAATACCGAATTGAATCATATTGATACCAAATAAAGCCAAAAATGACAATTTTTTAAGATTTAGAAAAATTAAAACCTTTTAAAATAAACGTTTTTTAACGAATTCGTTACTGTTTTCTTAAACTACCGAATTCTGTCAAATTGATACTGAATTGAATCAAATTGGTGCAGAATTAAATCCAATTGGTACAGAATTAAATCAAATTGGTACCGAATTGATTCAAATTGATGCCAAATTGATACCAAATAAAATGAAATTGCTATTTTTTTATCATTTGAAAAAAATTATGAACCTTTTTAAACTAAATTTTCTTCGCAAATTCGTTGAGGAATTACTACTGTTTTCTTAAAGATATCAATCAAGTTGATACTAAATTGAATGAAATTGATACCGAATTAAATAAAATTAGTGCCGAATTGAATAAAATTGATACCATATTAAATCAAATTAATATCATATCGATATTAAATTGGATTAAATTAATACCAAATTAAATAAAATTGATTTTGAATTGAGTCAGATTGGTATACGAATTGAAGCAAATTAGTACCAAATTAAATCAAATTGAATCCGAATTGAATAAAATTGGCGCAGAATTGAATCAAATTGGTACAGAATTAAATCAAATTGGTTCCGAATTGAATTAAATTATAATGTCAAATTGATACCGCAAATAAAATCAAATAGCTATTTTTTATCATTTAAAAAAATTAGAACCTTTTAAAACTAAAGTTTCTTAACGAATTTGTTGAGTAATTATACTGTTGCCTTAAAGATATATCAAGTTGATGCGAAATTGAATGAATTTGATACCAAATTGAATTAAAATAGTGCCGAATGGAATAAAATTGATACCATATTGAATCAAATTAATACCGAATTGAATCAAATTGATACCATATCGACATCAGATTGGATCAAATTGATACCAAATTAAATAAAATTCAATTCGAATTGAGTCAGATTGGTACCGAATTGAATCAAACTGGAATCGAATTGAATCAAATTGACGCCGAATTGAATCGAATTAAATTCAATGCATACCAAATTAAATTGGAATAATAACAAATTGTATAAATATATATGTATACAATAAAAATAATTAAAATAATTATAATTATATCAAATTAATACAAAAAAAGGATTAAATTAATACTAAAATGTAGAATAAATTATATTTTATTGACTCAAATATATTATTCCAAATATCAATTATAGTTATAATTTAATATACTTTGAATAAGTTAAGAGTGAACTCTTAATTTTTTATTATCGTATATCAAACTTAAGATGTTTTGTATTAATTAAATAATTATAATAATCCACTGTCAACTCAAAAGTATAAATAAAATTCCAACAAATACCATAAAAATGTGAATAAAATCGTATAATCTAATCGAAATTTTTCCTATCAATTTGAATCCAAATTGTTATCAGTTTGATATATCATTAAAATTATACCGTCAAATGGGGGTAATTAGTAATATTGGGTAATAATTGTAACTGGACTATAAATTTTTATTCAAGATATGTTTATTATCAACGTTTTTGTTGTCTCGATAATAAGCATCTTAAATCAAAATTTGAAGTTCTGTTACTTATTACCCCATATACTGTTACTAATTGCCCCATTTGACAGCATTATTTATATTATTATATTATTATTTATACAATAAAATTACAAATATTAACATTAAACTTTGCAATTGCAGAAATAAATTAAAATTTTATAAAAATAAAAAAAAATTCTCACATGAATTACTATACAAAAATATGATTATAAAACCTTAGAATTCGTTTTACAAGTGAAGTGATAAATGAAAGGAGGATAAAATGAAATGATATTTGTTAGACAGAGCGAATAATTGATAGACATTGGTTTATCACAATTAGCCAGATTTTTATAAATGGATTGTCGACTGATTTGCGCACCCCACATCTCATAAAGATTAAAGAGCAACTTCCGTCGCCTATGCTCAAATTTCTTTTTGGGGGTTGACTTTTATATACTGCGCGGGAAATTGCATCAGGGGTGAATTGATAATCATTTTATAAAACACCGCATACACATATAATACAGTTTTCAAGAAAAATAATCTATATGGTGTGTGTAAAATTCTCAATTATTTGAAACTTCTCCATTAATTTTCTTCATTTTTTCTCTTTTCCTTTTCTTTATATGTATTTTTTAATTCACATTTTATTTCCTTTATATTTTCTTTATATATATATAAAGAAAACGTAATGAAAATAAAATGAGAATTAAAAAATAGTTTTATTCTCTTTTTGTTTTCTTTATTTATTTTTTATTCTCTCTTTATTTTCTTTATATTTTTTATTTTCTATTTATTTTCTTTATATTTTTTATTCTCTATTTATTTTCTTTATATTTTTTATTCTCTTTTTATTTACTTCCTTTTTTTCATTGTATATAGGTCGATTCAATACACGGAAAAAAAATTTTACTTAGAATACAAATTTTACTCTATTAGCAAAATTTTTTGTTCTATTTAAAACTTTCGTTATTTTAGAGAAACTTTTCGCTATTCCAGGTAAAGAATTTTTCTTCCATAATGAGTGTCTTTGAAAGAAACTTTATTTTACTTATTTCTTATTTGTTTGTATTTGTATTAAATATGACTTTTGTTCATAAATCAAAATGCTACATTCACAGTTTTCTTGGAAGTATCAAATTGATACCAAACTGGATTAAATTGATAACAAAAATTTGGATCAATTTATGATTTGATCCACTTTTTTGATATCAATTCGTTATGATTTGATCCACTTTTTTGATATCAATTCGTTGCAGTTTGATATTTTTTTCAAACAAAACATTTTTTTTTAAATTTTTTAACCAATTAAAATTAATTTATTTCGTTTATTAATTAAATTTAATTCAAATAATGAAATTTGGACTTTTTCGTTTTGATACTGTCCGCACAGATAGTAATTGAATATTTGAAGCGTTCAATCAAAAATGGCGAACCGTCGCGTCGGCCGACGGAAGCCATAACAAATGTCGCGTTTTTTTGTATTTTGTCGTGATATAAACATATATATTATGATAAGAGACCCTGGTAAAGATAAAATTCGTAAAAAATTAATGTTTTATAGCAAAATAAAAATTTTCCTGTAAGTTTTCATTTTTCTTTCTTCTTCTTCTTATTATTTTTTGTTTTTATCAAATTAATAGCGAACTAATATCAAATTAATACAAAAAATTTGGTCCTTTTCCAATTATTTTCAAAACTTACTTTGGAAAATTCGATTATTTTCGATTAAATTTTATATAGTAATAAACCAGAACTATAAATTTTGATTCAAGATGTTTTACCGCAGCAACAATTCGAGCGCTAAAGCGCGCGGCTAACTACTTACTGCTTTTTTAAAATAAAATTTGCAAATTTAAAATAGAATTCCAAAATTTTCTAATTCAAATTTTTGTTGAAAACACTAAAAAAATTCAATTTTAAAAAAATTATAAATAATTATCAATAAATAAATTTTCTATTTCTTAATCAGAGTTGTTTAACAATTTTCTAATCTTCCTTAGAAGTAAAGAACAAAAATCTGCATAATTTCAATTTGACAAAACGTAATATTTAACAAAATTTTAGTCTTTTAATGAAAAGAAGTGAAAAACATTCTGATGATTTCTATTTGTTATTAGAATTTTGAATTAATTGTAACATAAAAATAATTATAACACAAATTATATTACGATCCAAAAACTGACTTTTAACAAAATAATAATATAATATACAATCTATCTAAAACTAACAAAAAACAAAGGTATAAACACACTAAAAAAAAAGTTTTACTTTCAGCCTATTTTTGAGGCTGAATTTAAGGTGTAAACGGAGTCAGCCCCGTTAAACAAGGACAGACTTATGTGAAATACATGGGCTGAATTTAAGGTGTAAACGGAGTCAGACTTTTTTTTTCCTGTGAACAAAAGACAACTTCAGAGTGTGAGGGACATCAGAAAAAGTGAATGAATGAAAGAACATTCAAATTATTATATAGTTAATTATCGAAGTTTTTGTTGTTCGATTATTTGTAATATGAACAGTTTTTGTTAATTGTTTGATTCATAAATATCGGATAACAAAAACGTTGATAATTTATATACTAAATTAAAATTTAATATCCTGTTAGTCTGTTACTTTATTACCCCGCTGTTGCCAATTGCCCCATTTGACGGTACAGACAAAACGTAAAATTCTGTATAGAGTTTTAGTAATTGTAGTTTGCTTAGTTTTGTTTAGTTCTGTTTAGTTTTGTTTAGTTTTGTTACATTCTGTTTAGTTCTGTTAGTATTTTGTTTCATTCTGTTAAGTTCTGTTTAGTTTTGTTTAGTTTTATTTAGTTTTGTTTAGTTTTGTTTCATTCTGTTAAGTTCTGTTAAGTTCTGTTATGTTCTGTTTATTTTTGTTTAGTTTTGTTTCATTCTATTTCATTCTGTTAGTTTTGTTTATAGTTTTGTTCTGTTTAGTTTTCTTTAGTCTTTTTTAAGACTTTATGTTAAGTTTCGTTTTGTTTGGTTTGTTTTCGTTCAGTTTATAGTTTATAGTTCTGTTTTGGATAGTCTTCTTTAAATATGTTTAGTTTATTTTACTTCTATTTACTTTAGTTCAGTTTCGTTTAGTTCTATTAGTTTTCTTTAGTCTTTTT